CCCCAAAACCCCAAAACCCCAAAACCCCTCCAAATATAAAACATTTTGAAAATGGAGAAAATTATTGTCAAAATGAAGAAGCGTAAAACCAAGCACAAGAAGAATAGTTCACGCTTGCCAAGCATAACCAAAAAATTTCGAACGAAGTACTATTCCCTCTAAAGTCTAGGTTCAATACACTAATCAACGCAAGTACAGAAAGAGGTTAGGGCTCCTTAAAGCATTAGAGCACTCTACTAATAATACAGCTGAGAGCCATAGTAAAGCTTCCATTAAGCTGAAAAAACATCCAGCAACCTGTGTTTGATTATGAGCAACAGAAAAAGCAAAATGATGTAAGATAGAGGACTAGTAAGACAGTTTATGACTTCTGCAGACTCTCATGAAAAATGTTTCCAAACTGAAATCCAACTAGGCCAAGGCAGCCAGGAGTCGACTTCAGAATGACCAGTTGAATGAACAAGACTCAAAGAGTATTTTGACATCTGATTGTAGGTAGACCAAATCCAGAGAGTCAAGTTCAAGAAAATATTCACAAAGGTTGACAAATAAGAAGCTTTAAGGCAATTCCACTCAGACATTTCTAGGCGAATGAAGCTATTGCTTTAGGAAAAAGTGTTTCAGGCTAGTAAATACTTGCTCACATGGAAGCTGATACACTGTAAGACATGAGATGAGACCTCTTACTTCTAGTGCACTCAGTTCCTGCTGAACTTCAACAAACATACTGGTCACAATGATAACTTTCAGCATAAAACTCTAGAAATGAGGTGATTATATTGACCAGAAAACACTAAGAATGAACAGATGACTGAAGACAGAAAAATCACGAGGGAATATCTCCATTACTGGTAAATTGTTTTGCTTAGCATAATAGATATGACAACCATGGGCCTGACTACACAGCTGAAGCTCCAGTTACCCAAAATAAGTTTGAAGTAGTTTTGAGACTTAATCATTCAGGATACAAAAGATGTTTCACAAAACCTTCTCAACCCTGAAACAGGTATCTTTGATGTGCAAATTCTAGAATTTTGTGACCACCATGTTAACAAGAAGAACCATTATTGTATTGATTGAAGCATGCATTTGTGCTACAGATGACTTAAAGTATTTGTTCTAGTCATTTCTAGATAAAATAATCCTCATTTGAATCATAAGTGTACTCGATTGAAGACCTTAACATTAAGGTTGAACACTAAAGTTTGAAGCCAATCTACGATGAGCTCTTAGGGGTTTTGGGGTTTTGGGGTTTTGGGGTTTTGGGG